CTGTAATTTATTTCTATATTTTCTCATTTGTAATTTGTCTATAAAAGACAAATCTATACATTCATATCAATTAATGGACACTGAGTCTCTTCAGAGAAACCTGAGATTCTTCACAGGTATCAAGATCCCTAACGTTTTAGGATCTTGATCTTTAATATATGCATTTACAAATGTTGTTGCCAACCATAGAGATCTTCTAGCCTTTCATATCCCCCAATTCCAACAATATGAATGAGTTTGTAACCGACATCTTAGTCTCATACATTCAGGTGAGGTTTGCATTAGGCACACCCATAAAATTTTCTTCGAGATGTACTTTTAGTGTCAAAACGTTATGATGGGTTTAAAATCTATTTTTATCCCTAGTTACCAAATTTAAAATTTTCAAAATAGGATCTATAGACACTTGAAAAGATTTAAAGTATACTATTCCGACAATATTACAAGATGCATTACTTTAAGACTTTTTTTTTTTTCCTTATATCCACAAATCTTGAAGTCAAAATGAACAATTTCAGGGTTCTCCAAACTCAGATGCACTCTTCTAGAGGATTTTTGAGGCACATTTTTTTTTTTTCCCTTTTCTTTGGTTAAAGAGGTGTACCTTACTTCAATAGTATAAGGTTGCAAGCTTATATAAACTTTTTTCATACATCTATCATAATTTCTATTCATGTTGAGCAAGGTGGTCAATGAATAGAAATATAGCAAAATGCATCTAGCCTTGAGAACTATTCTCGCTCCAAGTGGGTCAATACATGGAAATATAGCAAAATACATCTAGCCTTGAAAACACTTCGTAGTTTTTCCGTAATTTATTGGAAGTTAATATGCATGAACACAATTGCTATCATTGAGGGTTGACATGGACTTTGGATAGGTTGAGAAGCAAGTGGAGGTAATCGGATTGGTGAGGGTTACTACAGTCAAGTCTTTTGTCTTTTGAAATAAGCGTTTAACTACTCAGCCAAGTAAGTTGGCTCAAAACTGGGCTGAGTTAACTCAAACTCGGCTGAGTTATTCAGCCTCAATCTATGGCTGAGGCAAGTACACATGCTTAAGGCTCGTTTAAATATCTGGATTTTTCAATCCTGAAAAAAGTCATTCCTGGAATTGAGATTTATTGGAATTGACATTTCGTGGAATCTGGTGTATGTTGTTTGGATCCCATCGAGTGGAAATCAAGAAAATACAAATTTCATGTTTGAATTGCCTGCAATATCTTTTTTTTGTAAAATGCAAATCATTTCTTTCTATTTCTCGAAAAATTTTGAGATAGTTTCTCTTTCTAAAACATTCTCTAAAATTTTAATACACTCTCTTTCAAAAAGTTAAAATTTAAAATAGTCTCTCTCTAAAAATTTTGAGATAGTTTCCCTCTCTAAAAAATTTATATACTGTCTCTCTCTACATTTTGATATAGTTTCCCTCTCTAAAATTTTGAGATACTTTCTCTCTCTAAAACTTAAAATTTGAGATAGTATCTCTCCATAAAAAATTTGAGATAGTTTCTCTTTTAAAACAATTCAAGGTAGTTTCTCTCTCTAGAATATAATATAGTTTCTCTCTCTAAAATTTTAAGGTATTTTCTCTATCTAAAACCTAAAATTTGAGATTATTTCTTTCTAAACATTTCAAGGCAATTTCTCTCTCTAAAATTTTTAGGTATTTTCTCACTCTAAAATTTGATATAGTTACTCTCTAAAATTTTAAGATGCTTTCTCTCTCTAAATCTTAAATTTTATGATAGTATGTCTCTCTAAAAATTTTAAAATAGTTATTCTCTCTAAAAATTTTAGGTACTCTAAAATTTGATATAGTTTATCTATCTAAAGTTTCAAGATATTTTCTCGATTTAAAACTCAAAATTTGAGATAATTTCTCTCTAAATATTTTCAAGTAGTTTCTCTATCTAAAATTTAATATAATTTCTAATCTCTAAAATTTTACTATGCTCTCTCTCTAAAACTTAAAATTTGAAATAATTTCTCTCTCCAAATGTTTGGAGATACTTCTTTCTAAAAAAAATTTAGTTCCTCTCTTTATAATTTAATATAGTTTCTCTCTCTAAACTTTTAAGATACTTTCTCTCTCTAAAACTTAAGATTTGAGAAAGTTTCTCTCTAAAATTTTAATTTAGTTTCTTTAAAATTTTAAATTTGAGATAGTTTCTCTTTAAAAATTTGAGATAATTTATCTCTCTAAAAAATTCATATATTTTCTCTCTCTAAAAAGTTTTGTATGCTTTTCCTATCTAAAATTTGAAAATCCAACTTAGAAAGTAGTTTTTTAACCCAATTAATATAGGGCGTCCATTTTGATAAGATGCTTAGAAGGATTTTTTTTTTTTCAATATTTTTAGATGGCTTTATTATCATTAGATGAACAATGTTAAAAAAGAAAAAAATGATTTTGAGTTTGTAAAGGCTAAGATCTTAAAATTCACCAAATGAATGGTCTAGATTCGTTCTCCGAAGGGATTCATTTTGACCGTATCTAAGGTTCAAATTGTACTTCTTCTTTTTTTAGGATTGATTATTGAGATGAAGAGAGTGTATATAAAATTTTGCGTCATACAAATACCACAAACATGATTTTCTAGAAGTGTAGTTGCATTATATGATACAACCACTAACTCATATAAACATATGAGCCCAACGGCTCAGATTGAATCTGAGTCAATCTGACGATCACGGATGTTCGGTACTACTTGAATTTTATTTTATTTTTACATATCCAAATCACTTGAAATTTTAGGTGTATGTTCTTCTCATCATGGCGCACCTAATAAAAATATAAAAAAAAATTGTTTGCAAAAAACAAGATGACCAAAATACATCTGGAACCGTTTCGAAGGTATTTTGGTCAATTTATTTCATGTAAAATAGTTTTTTGACATTTTTCGAAGATTCATCTATTTTTTATGTACGCACGCCTAAAATTTCAAGTGATTTGGATTTATAGGAAAAAAAAAAATCAAAGACCACAGGACATCCGTGATTGTCAGATCAGCCCAGATTGTTGGGCTCATATGTTCATATAAGCTAGTGGGTGAACCCCATCTTTTTCATATATATATATATGGAATATACTACAAAACACCTATAGGTAAAAATGAACAATGATTTCGCCTACCCTCATCACCATCCAAACTTCAAATTGTTTTTCTATAAATTCACCCTTCACAACTCTGTCTATCTTGAACTCTCTTTTTTTCATTTTTTCTTTTACAAATCTAAATTACTTTTAATTTGGAGCTTGTGTACATCTTAGTGAAGCGCACTTAATTAAGATATGAAAAAAATAATTCGTAAAATATAAATTGATCAAAATACCCTCCAAACTTTACATTATTATTTTCATATTTTTATTAGGTGCCCCTCACTAAAATGTACACACCCTTCAAATTTCAGATCATTCTGATTAGTAAAAAAAACTGAAAATTGAAACACTATCAGACAATTGTGACCGTGCGATGAAGTTTAGATGGTGATGATGATAGGCAAAATTTTCATATATATAGATATATATATAATCTGAATCTGGATCCGATGTATCTGAATCTGGATCCAAATCTCCAATATCCAATTTGAACCCGGATCTGGATCTAGATTTGGTCGGATCGAGCCCCAATCCGACCCATTCTCATCCCTACCCAAACCACCCTACAATCAGGGCCAAAAGGCAATATGAGTAATTAAGGGCCTTTTGGACCTAGGGGAGGCAATGGACCTGGACCCTATCCAAGACCTAGTGGGTATATCCGACACGGGTCCGAGTATGGGTCCAATATTTGGACCCAACAGGTCGAGTCCCGATCCAAAATCTAGACCTACACACTATTCGGGGTTTATTGGACCCAACCCGTACCCGTAAATTGTTGTGGATAAAATACTTCAAGCCATATTCATTTGGGTGTATCAAGGATCGTAAACAATAATAACTCGTAGTCATCTTTATATGACCAATCAGACAGCTTGAAATCTAATCACGAGTGATTATTACATTTTTACGAGTAAGATGGGTATATGATGGTAAAAAAGGTAAAAAAAAAAAAACCAAAGTTCATAGTGAGGGTCGCAATGGACCCAACCAAACCCTAGACCCGATGGGATAGACCTTGGATCCGACAGATACATGTATGGGTCCAACTTTTAGACCCAACAAGTAGGGTCTGAGTCCAAAACTTGGACGTGAATACTATTCGGGTCTGGGTTTGGGTCTAGCCCGACCCAACCCATACCCAACCTGTTGCCACCCATATTTGGACCCTTAATTATGAGGAATTAAGAGCCTTTTTGAAAATTTCCCCCTTTTAAAGTCGGGGCAAAATCAAAATACAAAACATAACAAAAAAAAATATAAAAACAAAAAATAAGACTAATGGTAAGGGCGTGTTTGACTAGCAAAACTTTTGGGATGCAAAAAATCCCAATTTCGCCAGCCAGGCGTGCACTCCTGTATTTATGATGTATGGAAGTACTTTATGATGTATGGAGGTACAGTTTTGGGAAGAATGGCCCTCAATCCTGTTGCACACTGCTGTAAATAAAGCATCATTACAGGAACCAGCCCCTTCTATTCCAAAAGATGGAAAGGGCATCCTACAAATGGGCGTACCAAACACTCCCACAATTTTTAGAAATATTTATGATTTTTAAATGGAAATTGACCTCGTGTGACATTTTCACACCCATATGTGTGTAAAATTTTAGAGCATTATCATTAAATTTGAAATAAAATTTTTTTAAAAAATTATCACATAAATATGATATTTAATTTTTTTTTTTTTGAAAGATCTATGTTAAATTTAATAATAACCATTTAAAGGTCTCCTAAAATAATAACTCTTTTATAAATAATTTCTGGCCCGTACCCAAGTTTTCCTTAACTAATCAGTCGTCAACGTGCACGAAGTTTCCCAGGAAAGTTCGAGCGTCCTCATGCATTTGTTTAATTCCAAAACCATCCTTCGCAATTTTCACTTATATAATCCTAGAAGTTGAGATTCAGCAGCGGACCCTAATTCTCACCGATTTCAGCAGAAATGGCGGTCGAATCGCCAAAAGAATACGGTTTTGTGGTCCTGGTGTTCCTCTTCTATGTCTTCTGCAACCTTTGGATGTCCTTTCAGGTCGGCAAGGCCAGAAAAAGGTAACAAACATGGAAATTAAATTGATTTAATTATATATATATATATATGTATATTTCCATTTGTGTCTTCCTCCATAAACTAAGGTTTTGATTACAGGTACAAGGTGTTCTATCCGACCCTCTACGCTGTTGAATCTGAGAACAAGGATGCCAAGCTTTTCAACTGTGTTCAGGCAAGCTCAGATTCATGGCGTTTTATGTTTTATAGGGGATTTGTGTTTCAGAAATAGGTTTTCTCTGTGCTGGTTTGTTTTGGTACTTTTTCTCTGAATTGCAGCTTAATATTGGTTGCAGAGGGGGCACCAAAACTCATTGGAGATGATGCCGATTTTCTTTGTGCTGTTGTTGCTTGGGGGGCTGAGGCACCCTCTGATAGCCTCTGGTTTGGGGTTATTTTACACGGTGGCTAGGTATTTCTACTTTAAGGGCTACGCCACTGGTGTTCCTGAGAATAGATTGAAGATCGGGTACTCTTTCTCGCTCTCACTCTCTCTTTCTGGCTCTTGCTCTTGCTCTCGCTCTCGCTCAACCATTAAAAGTGTTTTGGAAACAATTTTTATCAGGCAATTCAACTACTTCGCGCTTTTGGGACTGATTGGCTGCAACCTTTCACTCGCACTCACCCTCCTCCGCAGTTAATCTCTACTACCAGCAGGTCCTTCAATACATAGACTTGCTTCTCCTTAAATCTCTCTCTGTTTTCTTCTTCTGATGAACCCTGCTGTTTCTTTTTATTGTGAGCTATTTGAAATAGGTAGACTTTTGGTAGTTCTATTTGTGATGTACATCTATAATGCCATGCCACCCCTGTGCTTAATTTGGCTTGGTTGAATTCAATCTCTGGAGGGCTCACTCAGGTTTTTATTTGAATCTGGATCAAACTTGCCAAAAATTTGTCCAATCTCTTGTGTTCTATGAATGGCAGAGCTGGATCAGAACCTCCCGAGACCACTCCGAACTCGTCGGATCGGGGGCTGAATTCCGGGTCTTTCTTGTTCTCACAGGATTTTTCTATTATTTAATAAAAAATCTATGTGGAGAACCTGCAAGGCAGCTCTACTGGTTCTGAGCTTCGATCTGTGAGTGACTTTGCTGCTGTGATTTTCAACACCGCCCCAAACAACCACACCCGGTATATGTGATGGGTTCAGGCTGTTTATAAAAACTCAGGCGAGTCAACTCGGACTTGGGCGAGTTAGTCAGGCTCACTACGTTGGCAAGTCCGAGTATGCCGAAGTTGGTTGGTCGAGCTCGGGGTTCTTAAAAAGAAATTATATAAAAATATATATACATTATTTATAATATATCTTTTTAATGTTTTATTTTTTATTTTTGCAAAGATTTAAAAATGTTTTGGCTGTAAATATTTATTTTTGTATTTTCTTCATTTTTTTAATTATTTCTAAAATATGGTCCTGACAAATTGAATCTTTTTAAAATCTATTTTTGACTATTTTTTTAACCTCATTTAGATGTATTTTTATGGATTTTATTTTTAAAAAAACCTTTATATAAGGTTGCAATCTTAAAATGTAGAATTAAAGATGCATCTCAAAAATCTATCGGAAAAGATTGTTTTAATGGTGAAAAACACCCAAATTGATCATCGAGATGTACGACTATGAAGGCAAAGAGATTTTGAGTCCCGTAAATAGTGCATCTTGCAACATATTATCTAGACTGTCCATCTTCAAAATTTCATATGTTTATAGATCTACTTTATTTTAACCAATTTTGGAGTTAGATATGAAATAGATTTTTTGATAGTCCTAATATTTTTTCACATCAAAATTATTATAAAATTTGGAGGTTCGCCTTAATTGGATTGTTTAAGGTTGCAACTTTATAGAAACCACTTTTATTTTAAACATTTTTTTAAAAAAAATTTAGGAAATGTTTTTAAAAAAACTTTAACACTTTTTGGCTTGGCCTAACACTGCCCGGCTCTGGCCGAGGAACTCGGACTCGAGCAGAGTTACTTAATTCTTTTGTAGTTTTACACCATCTGCTACAGCGTTGAGTTGATGCATGTCATGAGACTATATATCTTACACCAAGACAAATACCTATGATGTTCCCGATCCCCTCACATTCCGTTAAAAAAAAAAACGAAAACGTCTTTGAAAAATAATGTCAAATCCATCTGTCTAAATAAAATAAGGAAAAAGTTTATATAAGGTTGTAACCTTACCTCTACAGCTAGCTATCGGTACATCTCAAAAATCCATTGGAAATGATAGTTTTAATGTTGAAAAACCCTTTGATTGATCATCTCGACATCGAGATGTATGACCGTGAAAAATCAAAAGATTTTAGGTCTTAAAAATAGTATATTTTACAACATATTATCTATATCGTTCATTTTCAAGATTTTCATACGTTTATAGATCTATTTGATTTTAACCATTTTTGTAATTTAAAATTTTATAATTAAATATGAAAATAGATTTTGAAATGATCTTAAGAACATTTTACATCAAAATAATATACCATGATAAAATTTGAAGGTTCACTGCATTCGCTTGCCAACTGCACCCATAAAATAAGCAGTGTACATAATTGGAGCTTTATTTCTTGCCAGTAAGCTTGTAACCTTATATAAATATTGTGCATTTGTAGTGATTTTTTGAAACTATATAGTTTTAAATTTGGAAAAGCTCAACCTTAAAATGTAGAATTAGAGGTGTATCTAAAAAATCCATCGTAAAAGGTTGTTCGGATGTTGAAAAATCCTCTGATTGATCATATCGACATCGAGATGTATGAATATAAAAAGAAAAAAGGTTTTGGGTATACAAAATAGTGTCTTGCAAAGCATTATTTAGACCGTCTATTTTCAAGATTTTCATGTGTTTATAGATCTATTGAATTTGAAAGATTTTTAGAGTTTAAAATTTTATAATTAGAGATGAAAATAAATTCTCAAGCCATCCTAAAATAAATTTATATTAAAATTTCTATTTATGATAAAATTTAGAGCTGCGCTTTAATTGGATTGTTTAAGGTAAGCCACACCTTTTAAATTTTGGGCAAGCTTTCTATGTTTTCCCTACAACATAGAAGTTCTATCATTTCCCTTATCCAATCGTCCATTCTAAATGGAGTGTTAAGATTGCTCCAATCACAATGTCACATCTTTACACTATTTTATTTTTAATTTTTTTTCTATAAACTATTTTGACACTAAACCTTAGACATCTATTCTTCTATTAAATTCTCACTAGCGAAAAAATATAAAAAAAAATATATTTTTAATAAAATAAAATGACCAAAATACCTTTAAAACTTTTAGGGGTATTTTGGTCATTATATTTTATCGAAAAATTATTTTTAATATTTTTTATAGGCGCGCCCCAATGAGAAGATGGCAAGTATCAAATTTCATATTCATACAATTTTTATAAAAAAATTAAAAATAAAATACTTTGAGACTTCGGATCTAAGATCAAACGGTGAGTGGCTCTCTTGATCAGAACTGGATGGCTGGATGGTAGGTGGAGGATAAAACTTCTATGCTGTAGGGGAAGCATAGAAACCTTTCCCTTAAATTTTAGCCATACTTTTTACGCCTTTTTGGATTAATGGTGATATATTGGTTGCATCTCGATATTGGTTATGAAAAGTGAGTTTTACAAAGAAAATATATAAATAGATCATATACACAATCACCCTTGTCTTTTAGATTTCAAATCGAGTGGTTGTGATCATGTCATTGACTAGATTTAGAGTTAAAAAAAAAAAAATATCTTGAATTTTGTAACACATTTTAAGCCATCTAAATTGATATTTAATAGCTAGGAGTAATTGTGAGCCCTTATAAGAAAGATAAATGATCTGATGTTATAAAATCCTAGTGGGCCTAAGGAATTGGGCTTGGTCAAGGCGGTAGCAGTTGGGTAGTGGGCCTTGGCCGTTATAGTTCCTATTTAAATTTCTCCGTCATTGAAAATGGCTGTTAGAATTGTTGTTATGATGTTACTAATAACTTCTTTTGAAGTCTGCATTTTGATGCATGAGCCCACCACATGAATTACACATGGGCACACAAAACACATGCTCTCTAAGAGAAATAGAGAGGCGGATCGAAAGTGGTTGATCTGCAATGATTTAAGTTGTAAAAGTTGTCGTGAAAATCACCGAAATCATGAGAATGAATGATCAGTGAGAAGTGAAAGCTCAAAGCATATAACGAGAGTGAGTTTATAAGATACATGATGAATCCCATTTTCCGATGCACGTGTTAAATGGGAGGAGTTAGAAAAAAAGAAATTGAAAGGAATTCTAAAATATTATTAAGTCAAAACAAGATTAAGATTATAGAGTCAGAGACAACAGATAAGAAGGAACTCCTTTTGGCAAAGGTAATCAGCCAATACATTGGCTTCCCGATAAAAATACATGAAAGTAAATGTAAAAAACCTTGAAATATCCAAAATTTGTAGTAAGATCGATCTCAGCTCTTAAGGTGCTTTCTGCACCCCATTACACCAATTAATAACATTCAAAGAGTCACTTTCGATAATATGGTAAGAACTCAGATTCCTTGCCACCAAAAATTGCTCCATTCCAATTTCTAACCAGTCCTCCAAAACATGTTAAACCAGGGTTCTTTAATGAACTCCCATCAAAATTAAGTTTTAAAACCCTTAATACTAGAGCCACCCACCTACCTTTAGGTCCACATTTGATGAAAAAGGGTTGAAAAAAAAGAGGAAAGAATGATATTTTTGAAAAAAGGGGTTGAAAAATGAAAAGAACGATCTTTTTGAAAAAAACGATAAAGAGCGATCGTTTCGAAAGAAACAATCCTCTTGAAAGAACTTATTGGTTAGCTTATATTCTGCAACTATACATAGACTTGCAGTATTCACTATTGCAAAAAGTTTATGTAAGGTTGCTACCTTAAATGTAGAATTAAAGATGCACTTCAAAAATCCATCAGAAATGGTTATTTTAATGTTAAAAAACCCTCTTATTGATCATATCGATGTATGAACATGAAACAAAACAAAAAAAAAGATTTTGAGTCTCAAAATTAATGCATCTTACAACATATTATCTATAGACTATTTGTTTTCAAGATATTTATATGTTTATAGATCTACTTGATTTGAACTATTTTTAGAGTTTAAAATTTTATAGTGATAGACAAAAATAGATTTTTAGATAATCTTAAGATTTTTTAATACCAGAATTACATGCTATTATAAAATTTAGAGGTACACCTTAATTGGATTATTTAAAATTGCAACCTTATAGAAACCACACCCTCCAATATTTACAACAAATATCAATATCAAAATTTACCCTCTAGATGAGAAGTGGGATTTTAGGTAGTACAATTACTTCAGTAATGAGCTTTCAAGAAAAGGTAAAAAAAAAAGAAGAGGAAAATGTGTAGTTGCTCTCGTAGTTATAAAGACCAATCTGGATTAGCAGGCCAACAGATCCCACCACAGCGACTGCCTTGACCAATGGATTTTAAAGCAGGAACTGGATTTTGTAGAAAACCAATGCTTGACCAAATTTTGGCATATCAGACTTATTAGTTTTAACCGGTTAGACCGATCAAAGTTGAACAATTTATTTGTAATATGATATTTAAATATTTTTCCTTGCTTTATAAGTTACCAAGTAAACTAGCTTGACTAATAGTGGGGTTAGTTTTATTAAACTAGATCCCTCACCAGTTTGATAGCCTATCTGATTTTTTATAACATTGGTTTCTCGGTACATACAAAACATCATGGACTCTCGTACGTGTTATATAGTTCTGTTGAGAGAGAGAGATGGAGAAAAACAAAAATAAAAGAGTCAGCAAAATTTGGTAGCATAAATGGCCAATAAGAAGTGAAAAGCTCAATCCTCAGATGTACGTACCGTAAGAGAGTTGGAGAAACAATAAAAGAAATGAATTGCTAGACCTCTTTTACATGAAGTTGCAAGGATCTTACCATGGTTACGTATACAGTCGCACATACATTCATGGAATAAGTTACCAGCATGATTGAACTCGAAATTATTTTTAAAACAAAACCAGAATCATTTTTAAAACAAAACCAAAATCTTTCTTTCTTTTGATAATTACCAAGACCATGTTCAGGCCAAGTCCTTCGCTCTTGAAGATCTCCTCTGAGGAGGTGTTTTTCTCCTGTTGATAGCGAATTCAGTCTCATCCTCACTAACGGGCAATATATCTGAAAAATTGTCATCTGATTTTGATTCATCATTGTAACCTCTTCCCCTGGAACTCAGAGTTTGTGCTCCTTTTTCCTCGGGACGCTTATGGTTACACTGTAGGCACACCATGTTCCTCCTGTAATTTAAAAAGTCACACCTACAAAATAAACACAATGCCTACACGATCAATCCCCAAACTCAGAAGTATTATATTGGCATTTTTACAACTAATGCTACTACCCACTACCATCGTTGTTGTTGTTGTCATCATCATTGTCCTTGTTATAATATTATTGCTATCATCATCATCATTGAAGTTCATCTTCCATTGGGTTCGTGACTGCTTTTCGAATAATGGTGGGCAAGAAAAAGCGGGCCCCAGATCCATAAAATCCATACTCTCTTCATGGTCCATCATCTTATTGGACAGTCATGTCCTCTGATGGATTATGAAATTCCATAGTCCACTGACTACAGTAAATTATCTATATCATCATCATAGTGCTTACACATTAAGAAAAACGAGATTAAATGGATATGATCTTACGAAGGGCACTCCCATTCTCCAGGAAGAAGTTGTCTCTTCGGCTGCTTTTCTTGGCAGCGTAGGCAATTGGTATTACGAGCAAAGTTCATGAACCGGCAACTGATGTCAACAATAACAAAATGGACACATCAAAAACAGATAAATTAGGAAAACCACACAACATTCACAATAATAAAAGGTTCAAAAGCAGAGGAAAAAGCATAAAAATTTACTGGGGACAGGTCCAGTCCCCTTTCTTCTTTCCAACATTGTCAAAATTCACCCTTTTGGGACCCACTTCTTTGCACTTCAAACACCTCACATTCCTAGCGAAGTTCATGAAATTGCACCTGAAGGAAATCACATCCAGTAATCCAAAATTTCAGATTCAACTTCTATATACAGAGAGAGAGAGAGAGAGAGAGAGAGAGAGAAGCTCTGTAAGTTTCAAGAAGTTTTACTCTGGGCACATCCAGTCCCCTTTTTTCATTTCTTCTTCAGGATCAACTCTCTTTGGACCACCTTCTCCGCACTGCAAACACTTCACGTTCTTTGCGAAGTTCATGAAATCACACCTGTAATTGCATAGTTTGACAATCAAGTGCCTCAGGGAAGTCATAGCACATAAATCAAGTAATATCGATCCCTCCCCTCCCTCCCTCAGGTTGCAAGACGAATCATAACAAATTGACAATGCTGAGACTTATAAAAACTAAGTCAAGTCTCTATAAAAATTAAAGAAAAATGGTGAGACTCCACCGAGTTTTTCACAAATTGTCAAGACTTGCCGGCTTGCAAGCCAAGTTGCTTGATGAGTTCCCAGTTAAAATGATGAGTGTCACAAATTGCTTAAATATTATTCTAACCTAGAAAATTTAATGTCTCCTCCACAAATCTAAGTAGATAACCCATATTTCTCACATAATTACAAAAACACTGAGACAGGAGACAGTCACATAACCCTAGAGATTTCTGGTAGAACTTCACTCTGCACTTCAAAATTGTAATGAATCAACAGAAGTGCCAACAAAGATACTCAGTTCTTATCAGTTAGGAATTCTACAAATCAGTATTCTATTTGAGACATGTAGTTTTCTGAAGAAATGATTTTAAGACTTGCTTGAAGTGTCATACTCCCTTACAGAAACAACTAATAATCAAAGCACAACCCTTTTGGAACCAACCATAAATTTCTAAGCATGGATTACTTTCAAACATTCTGTCACATAAAAGATTTTAATATTTTAATACACAACTAGCTAACTCCCCAAAAATGGACTAGGCAGATGGATTCTCAAAAATAATTTTACAGCACTCGATAAGGAGTAGAGAACTGAGAAAGTTCCCAAAATCACATAGGAGATATAACTTCAGAGAACGCATCCCCACTGATTCATCCAAAACAAACTTCAGGGAAAAGCATAAAATACAACTGCACAGGGGATAGTGTTTGAGAAATTGCTGACAGTGCGATACTTGCCTTAGGTGGCTTGGATTAGGGCCCAAGTGAGTCGAGAGGTAAAATCTTGGGTCTCTTGACGAATGGGCTCTTAAACCCTGCTAAAAGATCGGTGATCTCACGAATGGGCTCTTAAATCTTGTTAAAACATCGACGGTCCTGCTCGAGACCCGCCTAATGCAGATCTGGTGACTAGGGCCCAGGACCCCGGCACATAGTTATCAAAACCAGACGAAACCGTGGTCCCCCCAGCAGAACCGGTGACAAGACCCCTGTCCGGTCTGGCATGGGCACTAAACCAGTATTTCTTGAGATTTGGTTAAAACCAATGATTGACCGGTTGAACCGGTTTGACCGTCGGTTGTTCCGGTCCTCTTGGGTGAACCGCCCAATCTTTTCCCCCACCTCTCTTGCTATTTTTTGGCCTGATTTTTTTCTTTTTATTCTTTTTCTGCCTTTTCCATTTTGATTGCAATAAAATAATTTATTTCCAAAAATTTTAATCCAAAAGATCTCAAAATTTTGGCAAAAATCATCACCATCAATGCCAAAAGGAAAATTTTATTTTTTCTTACCCACCATCTTGGCATGCATTCTTCACTCTTTTGCTGCATTTTTTATAGTTTCAAATTTTTCTTTTACTCTCTTTGGAATCACTCGTTTTCTCTCTCTTCAGTGAGGACAAAGGTGCACCTGGTTCTTTGTCATTACATACTTCAACTTTATGAATAATGAAGTCATAGGATACATTAATTTTGTCATTAGAATCATGTATGCTACGAAATTTTAAAATCCTCCAATATTTCATATTTGGAATAAGTTGGAAGTTTTGCCACAATTTCTGAAAAATCTCCTTTTTTAACAAGGACTTCAAACCAGGTTTGAACGGTCAGACCACCTCTCGGACTGGTTTTAAGTGGACCAGTCCCTTAATTGGTTCGAGCACCAGTCCGATCCTGATAACATTACCCCGGCAATTCCAAGGCCAAGTCTCTATTTTCAAACATTAACCAGTATAGATTCACCTCCACCATTCAACCTCAATAAGGAACACTGGAGACAAAACAATTTTCTCTCTTTAAGTCTGCCATTATTCTTCAGGCAGAAGAAAAGCTCATATCCACCATCACTAATTGATGATGGATGGTAAAAATGAAAGTGAACTATAGAAACGAAATACCATGTTCGTGCTACAATTTCCCCTAAGTTCATAGCACTCATTCTTATCCAGGTATTTGGACATGAACTTAACACGTGTTTATCATAGCTAAAAACAGGTGTGGTTTGGAGAACTTACTGGGAACAGATCCAGTCCCCTTTCTTCATTTCCTGCCCCATCATCACCTTCTGGAGTTTTTCCGGTATAGATTTCAACACAGATGTTGGAAGGGCTGGATCGAGAGGTGTATCGCTGAGTTCAACAAGCTCAGTAAGCAACTTGCGAGCAGACACTTCAACATTTTCCCTTCCATGTGGTTTGCCACCCTCTGAGAGAACAACTGGGTCCATTGCATAGCTCAACAAGATGCGCACAATATCAACAGTGCGAGCTCCTTCCTCTTCCTTCGCATTTACGTATGCTCTGTCACAGGATCCCCGTAGATTGCAGGCACTGCATACCTGGATAGGTGATATCATGCCCGAATAGATTAGAAAGCGAACAATCTTCAGAATAAGGATTTATTTGCCCAGTAATGACACTGTAGCTGTCACCACCAGCCCAGAAGTTATTCAAATGAATTTTACTCAAACTTTGTGAATGATCTCATTTCATCCCACCAGACAATCCAAAAAATAAAATAGAACTGTATTTATTTTCTTGAAGAGAGATAAAACCACAATTAAAACACATATACCGCAGTGTTTTGGGCACAATTAAACATATATACCAATTTAACTAAGTAATACACATGCACATATGCGTGCACGGACAGGCAACCACACATAACTGATGTTACAAAGACATGGAGACATGTCACAGCATCCAATATACCTATGTTGCATGGATTCTTCTAGTTGGGTGCCACTCCTGTCCCGGACACATGGCCTTATAGGCATGAAAATTCAGTACATCATTTAAAAGGAAGATGGGATTTTGTGGAACATTTAAGTACTTTCATAGTAACAATTCAACAAGAGAGGTTAGAAAATTGTCTAAGATTGTCAGACACAGGTTTAGTACTGTAGTGTCCTTGCTGCAATGACACGAGCAATAAAAATTGGAAACATGTATCTATGATACACACACACACACATACATAGAGAGATAGAGAGAGAGAGAGAGATTAATGCAATGTGAGTAATCTAGAACAAACCACAGAGAAGCATTATGTAGCATCTCTGCCCCTAAGAGGATGTATTTCAACATTAATATAGATTCCTTTACAATGCTAACACAATAGAATTCATGAGATGTGATATTTCCCAGTGTCAGAGCACACACAACATTACCCCTTACCATAACACGGCAACTGCCTTAGAAAATAATAAACAGAGTATCAACTTTATATACTTGAATATAAGTCATTAAATGAAATGATATTTTTAATTCTTTCAATGTATGGATATAATGAAACAAATATCAAAAGAAATTTTTTGGCCAAAATAAACAGATTAACATTTGCTACTATCCCAAATTTTCGACTCATTACACCAGTAATTAGGAGGTAACAAGGGAATATGTCATGGATAAAAAAAAAACTTACATCTCCTTCATCAACATTCACAAAAGCTCTCAATCGCTTTGCGGAATTGACTGCTTTTCGGAATAAATTGGGGCATCCACAATCTACAATAGCCTGAATATCTTTCTTAGACAAAGATCTGAAAGCAATAGGCACAATAGACACAAGTATTAGACGATAGAGTAAACCATGCTAATTGGATGAGATTGAATAGGAATGATACCAGAGCTCAATAAGAAATGTAGACGAGAAGAAAACACTGTTTATGAATTGCAAGATATCCATCATATGGGAATACCACACAAGTAACTTCAATATTTTTAATACCATTGAGCATTCAAAAACCAAGCAGATCTAACATTAAACATATGAAACATATCAAAATAAAACTGCCATACGATGCTCTTCATTGAAGTTCAATTCTTTTGGTGTTTACTGAATTGTTCAATTCGCCCTCCCTCCATATGAAACATATCAAAATAAAAGCTGCATACCATGTTTTGGAGTTCATCGAATTGTTCAATTCTCTTAAACCATAGTCTAGAGTTCATTAAATTGTTCAATTCTCCCTCCACCATGTTTTGGAAGTAATTGAATTGCCCCTCCCTCCCTCCCTATTCTTACTCCCACCATATCCTCCCTCCCTCCCAGTGTTGGAAAGGTATATACAAATGGGGAGAACAAAGAATTATTCAGGAAGAATCATAGTTACCGGGACCAGGAACAAATCAGATCCAGGATCAGGATCATAACAGCACGATCGTGACAAGAAGGAAGCTCTCTATGGCACGGATCGCCGTCTGTATACCCTGAAATCTCGGGATCTTGATCCCAATATGTGGAGAATCTCGACCAAACTGAATTGGTATTGAACGACAAACTATACAGGACCAAGCTTCATCTGGTTGAAATAAAGGCTCCGAGAGCACTTAACTAGTTAGTGGTATAGTATTTACTACTATACAATACCACACTACTACAATTTCATGATATATATACGAGATTCTATTATACTATACTATACACCACTAAATTTAACTTTACTATGTATAATTATACAATATACATTATATATAGTACTATAGTACACCACACTGCTAAACTATATTATACTGCTGTACTATACGACTATACCACACCACACAGCTATAACTATACTGTTGTACTATATTACAATACTAAGGAACCTGGATGTCAATTCCAAATGGGAAGGATAAAGCTTCTCAACAATAAAAAACACAAAGCAAGATTCCTATCCACGGAGTGCAAGAGCGATATTCTGAACTGGAATGGAAACCTTGTTTGGAAAATTCTGTAGCTATGGGAAGAATAATTTCACAATTTATGTCACTGTCTTGATGGTTTCTCCCACTATCCTACAAGAATGCCCCTCATAGACTAGGACATAACCTTCAGATTTTTCGTAATATATAACATAGTTATCAAGGCCAGACCAGACCGGACCAAACCAGTGGTTTGACCCCATCAGATCACCGATTGATGCCTTGACCAGTCTGCTCAACGTAAAACCCTGTTTTGGTCGAAAACCAGTCAAAACCAATGTTTGACCAATCAGACGAGCCAGTTTTAATTGGTTTGACCAGCTAAATAAAGTTACAGAAATGTTTTTAATAAATTTTAAACTATTATATCTATTTTTCACTCCTTTTTTTTCTAAAATCCAATCTAACTAATTCAACAAGTGGTTGGACTAGTTTTAACTAGGCCAAACCCCTCAAATGTTTTGGTGGCGAGTTTAATCCTTGTCTAAAAAACATAGTCTTAGATATGAACATTAAGATCACCAAGATCTTAACAACTGAACATCCATATTTAATACTGAGCATACCAAGTTTTAAATTCCAAAAGAAAGAGAAAAAGACCTAATATAAAAGAAGAAAAAAGTCGTAAGCCTTTAAAGTTGATTGAATTTAATGTACGCAGGAATTTCAGAAATATAAGTTTCAAAGAAAACAACACAAGGAAAGAGAATTGGGATTAATTTTATACTTAACTATAAACTTGTACCTTTTGTTCACTATGTAAGACTTACATAAAAAAAGATTAACCAACTTGTTGAGCCTTGGACTTCTAAGGGCATGACCATTGGCTGGCCCAACAGCTAAAACCACTACTCTTCGAGAGAGCATACCCCTCACTTTTACCCTCTTAAGATGGATTAATGCCAGAGATTATGTATTTTTTCTTTGGAAGAAAATTTCTTAAGTTTGCAGAATTTTC